ATTCATGTAGCCCCATAGCCTGAACTTGTTAGTCTTGGCCGCCCTGCGCTGCTGGCTGCTGGCAAGAAAGCCGGTCTGTGTTGTTGGCCAGAGCAGGGCAGATCAGAGACTGAACGTTGGCAGCCAGATTCCCAGATAACCTCAACTCCTCTGGAACACTCTTGTTGACATAAGCCTGTGCTTTAAGGGGTGTCTGGAATTCCAAGACCTTGAGCCAGGTGTGCGGGCAGGTGCGTGTGCTCTCAGCATAGCGATCCCCACCATCCCGGGCCATCAAATGTGCTTGCATTAGGGGTTAAATGACTGGGGTAGGAATCAGACACCAGATCTGAATTCTCGCTCTGGAGCTGATTGGCGGTAGGAAGTGGGATGACTCTCAACCCCTCTGAATCTCCACGCCTTCGTCTGCGGAAAGTGGCTACCCGTGCCACCTACCTCATGGGGCACCGTGAAATTCAGTGATGTAATACTCTGCTCTGATCAGTGTGGAATGAATGTTAGCTACCATGATCATGAACCGAAGGGTGACGCAGTGATTACTGTTGTGGATGACAGCCTGGTGTAGGCCAGGTTTCTCTGGGTGGGAAGGTACCCCTGTGGAAGGATGAACAGGCTCATTGTCATGCAGAATGGATTGGGGTCTGGGGCAGAGAGAAGACAAGCTTCCAAACTCCATTTCTAGTGCCGCAAGGGTAGGATGTTTTGCAGAGAGGAAAACGCCCTCTGGCTGAGGCCACTCCATTCCTCTCAAGCACAGAACAGAAAACTCCTTTGCTTTCCCTCGGCGTGATCCCGCAAGAAGGGGTCTGTTAATGTATGCGTGAGATGGTCTCACTCGCCATCCTTGTCCTTCCTCTCCAACACAGCCTGAGTGCAGTGCAGAAGCTGCACCCTGCTTGTCATGTTCTTTTTCCTAAACGAGGTAAAGTCTTAGAGGTCTTATTTGGCTTCGGTGGAGGAGCCAACTGCAAATTATAAGCAACCCGTGGGAAACTTCGAGACCGGTAAGGTGGCTCCGCCATCTCTAGATTCACCCCAGTGCACGGCCCCACAGACTGTTGGAATCCAAATGTGTTACCAAGATTAGTGCAGCCGTTCCAAATCAAGTAAAGTCTAAGATGGATGTAGGGCTGGAAACAGACAGTCTTTCAAGTTCCTTCCAAGCCAGCATGTTGTGATTTGTGAAGTTTTCCTTTGAATCAACATTCTTGAGTCACCTTGTGTCTTGTGTGAGGTTGCCACCATGAAAGCCAGACGCACTTGGCACTGATTTGCTTGGCATGGCTTATGTAGCCATACACTTGTTATAGTGTCAGCACTTGGGATTCTGCTAATGTACTATATGAAGCATAAACCGTACTAATCACAAGGGCAATTTTCTATATATGTACATTACAGAGAAAAGATAGCGTATCCTTGGTGATTCTGGACATCTCAACCGGTCGTTCTGGGAACAGCAGACTTCACTTGGTGTGATCCCATAATTAGAAGACATTATTGTGGTTCATAAATGGCATTAATTAAAATTTTAATTAAATTTTCAAAAGATAATTTAATAAGAGTGGGATTGATTAGAAAATTATCAATGAATTTACAGATTCATTTAAGACATTTATCTCTGTCACTTTTAAATTTCATTGAAATCTGTTCAAAGCTATGGTGGATATGTCCACAGTAACATTTAAATAGTCACTGTATTGTTTTGAGAGGCCAGTTATTTGGAAGATGTGTCTTGATGTGTTTTATTGAGCAGTGAACTTTACACTATTTATTTTGATGAACATTGTCCTGAAACAAATTGACAATAAAATGAAAACTGTTCAGTGTTCATTCTAAAACCAAAATCTTTAGCCAAGTACATTTTTCTTAAAAACATAAATAAGGATTTCCACACAAATGAATGACTGTGGCAAATTTACTAATGGTCTATTTGAGTCTTGGTCAGGGAGCTGACATGAGTGATTCTGAATTCTAACATAAGATGGATAATAGGTGTAAAATCTATAAAAACAGTAAAATAAATGAATAAAGAAGTGAATAAATGAATCAAGTACTGGGCCAGAAAGCAGGAGATACGGAACTTAAACAACATGGTAAACAATATTTAACTTAGGCCCACCTTATTTTATTTTATTTATTAATTTTTTTAGGCCAACTTGAACCACAACAGCAAGACACACAGTTTCCATTTCAGCAATGTAGATGGTGTCCGTGAGTACCTGGAGGTAAGACATTCATTCATTATCCATTGCTTCACTCACTCCCTCCACAAATACAAAGCTAGAGTGATGCAGTCAGCGAATCTGCTGGGCTCTGCCCTTAGAGGGCATCCAGAATCCAACCACTTCTTTTCACCCCTGAGGTCACTGATGGACTCAAGCCACCATCCCTTATCTGCCTAAACAATTGCCTCAGTTTCCTAACTGGGTCTCCCTGTTTCTACTCTGGGGACAAAAGAGTCATCAGTGGTCTTCTGAAACGTGAGCCAGATCTTTCAAAAATCTTCCAGGGGCATCAAACCTCATCCATAATGAGACTCCAAGTCCTTCCTGTGTTGTCCTGCCTGGCCTCCCGTCTTCCCGCCGCCCACCCTCCCCTCCCACTGCCTTCTCCCCAAACACAGTGCCTGCATCACTGCAGGGGGCTGTGCCTCTCCCCCAGACACACCTCTGTCTGCCTCCCCATCTCACTCAGGTCTCTGGTCAAGTCATCAGAGCTCAGATCATTCTATTGATCCCCATCTCCTCACCGGGCTTTATGTCTCCCCAGAGTGTTTATCTTCACTTGTGTGGACTGTTCACAAAAACATTTTTATGCTTGTTCATTTTTGGTCTCCCTTCCTGATGGACAGGAGACAAATGATTCTGGTAAGGCACCGTGGTAGTTATGACAGGATAATAGAAAATAGAGTAGTGGGAATAGAAACAAGAATTGTCTGATTTTTCTTAAGGAAGTATTATTTAAGTGGAGGCTGATGAATGAATATAAGTAAGCCAGACAGAGAGTTCTGGGAAGGGCAAACAATGCATATATTCTAGTTTCTGAGTTTGTTAATTTCCTTCTGCTGCTGCTGCTGCTAAGTCGCTTCAGTCGTGTCCAACTCTGTGCGACCCCATAGACGGCAGCCCAGGAGGCTCCCCTGTCCCTGGGATTCTCCAGGCAAGAACACTGGAGTGGGTTGCCATTTCCTTCTCCAATGCATGAAAGTGAAAAGTGAAAGTGAAGTCGCTCAGTCGTGTCTGATTCTTCATGACCCCATGGACTGCAGCCTACCAGGCTCCGCCGTCCATGGGATTTTCCAGGCAAGAGTACTGGCATGGGTTGCCATTGCCTTCTCCTAATTTCCTTCTAGATCATGTCTTTTTTCTAAAAGTTTAAAATTATTTATTATTCATTTTTGGCTGTGCCGTGTGGCTTGTGGGATCTTAGTTCCCTGATAAGGGATTGAACAGGTGCCCTGGAAGTTGTACCAGGTGCCCTGGTACACTGGAAGTCCAGAGTACCAACCACTGGACCACCAGGGAAACCCCATCTACATCATGTCTTCTTGTCCTTGTCATTTTAATTCTTGTAAATGTAACATCTGCTTCTTGCAACAGTTTGGATTAAATAATATGAGAAAGTTCTTGCTAAAAAATAAATACATCAGAAAGGTGCACAAAATATTTAGAAACATGTTTCTAAGTAGACACTTGAGTCCTTAAAGAAGTAAAGAGTGTGAGAGAATCTTCAACCCAGACAAGAAGGACTAAAGATCTGAGCGTGACAGCATTGTTATCCTGGGGTGGGGTGGGTCGCAGACCCGAAAGATGAGCGCCCAGCCCACAGTTATGAAACAGGGAGAAAATAATCTCCAACCGATAGCCCACCTACACACAAAATAAAAGGATTAGAGCCCAGAGAACTTCAAGTCATAGACTATTAGAGGGAGACTCTAAAATATGTTTAAAGTGATTAAGGAAAGAAATCAGAATAGCATCAAATAGTATAAATAAGGAATGGGAAGCTTTGAGGTTAAATTTCTAAAACTGAAGCATAGTGAAGTGAAAATCATACCAGAAAGTTTAACCAAGGGATCCTAACAGTTCAGTCAAGATTTTCCCAAACTGTAGCTCAGAGAGATTAGGACAAGAAAAATAGTTTTTGAAGGAGAGGAAGAGTGCTCTTAGGAGAGTGCCAGAAGGAATAAAGGAAAGGAGTAAATAAAGAGATAATGTGGGGCAGCGGGAGCCTGAGAGGAGACGAGGCTTAGAATCTCCCAGGTTTGATGAAAGATACGAAATCTCGGGTTTAGGAGGCCTGGGTGGGGTTAGGTGATATCTGGACACAGCTCATAAAAATGCCAAAAATCAACAGAAAATCTTAAAGAGTTGCTGTTGTTCACTTGCTCAGTTATGTCCGACTCTTTGTGACCCCGTGGACTGCAGCACGCCAGGCTTCCCTGTCCTTCACCATCTGGAGCTTGCTCAAGCTCATGTCCATTGAGTCAGTGATGCCATCCAACCATCTCATCCTCTGTCGTCCCCTTCTCCTCCTGCCTTCAATCTTTCCCAACATCAGGGTCTTTTCTAATAAGTTGGCTCTTCGCATGCACTCTTCAGGTGCCCAAAGTATTGGAGCTTCAGCATCAGTCCTTCTAATGAATATTCAGGACTGGTTTCCTATGGACTGGTTTGATCTCCTTGCCGCCCAAGGGACTATTCAGAATCTTCTCCCCAACACCACAGCTCAAAAGCATCAATTCTTCAGTGCTCAGCTTTCTTTATGGTCCTACTCCCACATCCATACATGGCTACTGGAAAAACCATAGCTTCAACTCGACGGACCTTTGTCAGCAAAGTAATGTCTCTGCTTTTTAATTCGCTGTCTAGGTTTGTCGTCATTGACACTGACTGTAACCTTCTCAGAAACAATAGGAGAAGGAGGAAGACACTGGCTTCAAAGCACCGAGGGGAGCCACTGCCGACCTGTAGATTTTGTATCCAGCGACACTATCACTCATGAATGAGAGTGAAAGAGATGACCAGCTAAAAACTGAGTGCTTACCACTATCGGCCCCGTGCTGGAAAAACAGAGTAAGGACTGCAGCTCGGGAGAGAAAGGGATTTAAACTCCAAAGGAAGGAGATGCAAGATGGTAAGCAAAGGAACTGGTAAACATGTGAGTTTATATGGGCAACAGGTGATTTTATAAAATAGCCATAACAATTATGATAATTCGATAGGATATGAAAATAAGGAAGAAAAAATTACTGGACAAAATAATGTGTATGGTGGGAGGGTGGTAATCAGAGTTAAAGTATTTGAAGGCTCTTGCCATATAAGAGCAGAATAAAAACATTGATTTATCTTTGGCCTTATTAGGTCTGGACTCGTGTTAAAAATTTAAGAATAGCTGAAACAATAGACACAAACCAGTAAAGGAAAACATGAGAATAGAGGAAACTCCATCATTCCAAAAGAAGTTAGAAGTTAGCAAAAAAAAGAATCAGATAAAGTATGGTAACGAAGCAAAAAGTAAGATGGAAAAAAGTTGAAATGCATGCGCAATTACAATAATCCTAAACTCACTAAAATGATACCAGAAATAGCAGCAAAAATATACTTCGCCTAGACATTAACAAGATGACTAGATTTGACAGTCATCTAATATGTAGATATTAGAAGGTCCTTGGTCACTGTAACATTTCTTTCTTTATATAATACACATAGAGATGTAGATATTATATAGATATAATATGTACACACATATAGGTAATGTGTATGCATGTGTGCTTAGTCGCTTCAGTCATATCTGACTCTTTATGACCCCCTGGGCTGTGGCCCGCCAGGCTCCCCTGTCCATGGGATTCACCAGGCAAGAGCACTGGAGCGGGTTGCCGTTTCCTTCTCTGGGGCACATGTAGGTAGGTACATGGTATAAATGGGCTTCCCTAGAGGCTCAGCGGTAAAGAATCCGCCTGCAGTACAGGACACTTGGGTTTGATCTGGGAATTGGGGTGCTCCCCTGGAGGGGGAAACGGCAACCCGCTCCAGTATTCTTCCTGGGAAAAGCTCATGGTCATAGGAGCCTGGCAGACTGGGGGACGCACAGAGCCAAACGTGACTGAGCATGCATGCCCAAGGAGGACAGTTTACCTATATACATAATATAAAGTATACTTCATGAATAGATGTTACATATTCATATCTATACCTACATCTGGGCTTCCCTTGTAGCTCAGCTGGTAGAGAATCTGCCTATAATGCAGAAGACCCCGGTTCGATTCCTGGGTCAGGAAGATCCTCTGGAGAAGGGATCGGCTACCTACTCTTGTATCGTGGACTTCCCTGGTGCCTCAGATGGTGAAGAATCCCCCTGAAATGTGGGAGACCTAGGTTCAATCCCTGGGTTGGGAAGATCCCCTGGAGGAGGGCATAGCATCCCATTCCAGTATTCTTGCCTGGAGAATCCTATGGACAGAGGAGCCTGGTGGGCTACTCACAGGGTTGCAAAGAGTCAGACACGACTGAACGACAAAGCACAGCACAGCACAGCACATACCTATATCTGTCAGTCTATCTAATCTATTTCAATTAACCAAGCACTAGATTCCACCATTTTCTCGTGTAGGAAATCAATATGGTCCAAGGATATGGGTCTCCAGAAAGGCAAGTTAGCCCAGTATCAATCTGATTGAGCAATGGGAAGTGTGCTCAGTGCAGAAATTCAGGGTTCCAGGCAGTGATCAGGAACTCAGCATTTTAGGCTACAAGTTTCAAGGACCTCAAGGATAGAGTGATGAGGCAAGATCAAAGCCGTAAAGTTAATAAACATTCAGACAAATAAGTACATGAGTGCCTATAGGAGACACAGGAGTTTCCCTTTCAGAAGAGCCCTGCGTAAGAAAAAGCCTACATAACGCCCTGTATCTCGCCGATCTGGAGACACTTTGAAATCTGTTCCCCCAGGTTTGTTTTTCTTCTCCCTCACACCTCACGTGGAGCACAGAGAGTGGTGTCCTGTCACTTTGATCTCTCTCTACTCAAATGGCAGAAACCAACCAGGTGAGTTGTCATAACTTAGGTGAGGTTGGGATAAAGATACACCTTGGAGAGCTTGCTTCCTGATGACAGACTGAGAGTGGCTCTTTTTGATTTGAGTTATTTGGAGCTTAAATTCAGTGCCAACCCATATGAGTGTCTCAGAACACCGGGTTAGAAATGAGATTATATTAGGAGCATAAAGCCTTTTGTCTGTCTTTTCATAGAATTTTCTTTGACTGATGGATGGGGTAATCTTGTCCAGTATTGTGATTTAAAATTGTTGGTGAATGCAAACAGTTGAATTTTTAAATTCAGAATTCATTTCTGGGTTTACCTTTAAAAGCAACTCGACTAGTGCAGAGTTAAGCATCTTCATTAATGACTCCATCCAAGAATGCGGCTATTTCATGGATTCAATTTAAATCATTTAGTTTTATGAGAAGCAGAGCACCCTTCCCTGCAATTTAATAACTGAAAAATCCTTAATCCTAAACCCCAAATCTTGGTCTTCCTTTGGAGTAAATTGTATGAGCTAGTTCTAAGGTGTGTCTCCCAAGTTGCTCAAAGAGGAGTTGCAGCCAGCAGTGGAAGCATGCCATGGCACCAACGGGCAGAACCTCCAAGTGGCCTCTTAGCGGGCCACAGAGAGATGACGCTGAAGTGAGCATCTGCTGTGCTCGGGGTCCCCGTAATTGCTAGTGAAGTGGAGGGGATGTCTTTCTTTCACCTTTTGAGATATCTTTAGGTGGTAATGACCTTGAGCTCCTCACGGTTCATGGCTGTTCATGGCTGGCATCAGTTCTGATTCAGTGATAGCCTTCTCTGATTTTATAAATGTTCTGAAAAGCATCCCCTGGTTTTCAGGGTATCCGTGCAGTACTGTTGCTTGCTTGTTTCTGATTTTTTGCAAAGCAGCTGCGCTGTGAAAGTTGTGTCCAACTCTTTGTGACCCCACGGACTGTAGCCCGCCAGGCTCCTCTGTCCATGGGATTCTCCAGGCAGGAACACTGGAGTGGGCTGCCATGCCCTCCTCCAGGGGATCTTCCCAACCCAGGGATCGAACCCAGGTCTCCCACATTGCAGGCGGATTCTTTACTGTCTGAGCCACAAGGAGGCCCATCAAAGGAGCTATTTTAGTTTTATTTATGGGCTTCCTTCACCCAAGACCAAAAAGAGAGTCCATGAGATTGATTTTAAAGTAGACTTGAATAACTTAAAACCATTTCTTCCTGCAATAAGAAACCTTTTACTTTTTGTCTTTTTATTTTAACTAGAGTCTGTTGCTTTGTTCATTCTTACCTTAGAACACATGATCTTCCTAGAGACCTTCAGTCTCCCCAAGGGTTATCTTACTCAGCATTTCACCAAACGTGTTCAATCACTTCTGAATCCCCAGTTTAGATTCAAGTGAAGACTTCAAAACAGTAACAAAAAATATCGATGTGTGCCCACTCTATTCTGGGCACTTGTCATTTCATGTAATCCTCACACAACTTGTTTTATAGGAGAACATCACATAAAGCTCAGATTCAAATTCAGATCCAGGGGACCTGGAAGCCCAGGCATGGTCTCTCTGCTTTGCAGACAGTCTCTCCTTCCTGCATTAGGTTCTCAAAAGACTGGGACACCGGGGGACATTAAGACCTTATCTTTCATGTTTGCTGAAAATATGCTGTGCGTTGGATATTGTACACTTTGACTCATGGAGCTCTTCCAGAAGGTTGGGATCCTGTTTAATTCTTGGGGACATTGGAACACTGAGAAGGAACACGATGGGGTTCAGAGTTACAGGCTGATACATTCCTGTAAGACCAGTGCTAAAGACTTAGGGTTCAGGAATACCTTCTGCGTGCCCTTTGTCCTTATCTAGTTCTTTGCTGCCCCTCCACAGTCCTGAGAGGTGAAGTAAATGTGGCAACTCCATGGACCTTTCCTCTAGGCACGGAGGCCAGGCATGAGGCTGGTCAGTGAAACCTGGCCTCGCTGGGGACAGGCTGCACTGTTTTTTATATATATATAAATAGCAGGTATACAACATGTATATATACATATATAACATGTACATACACATACATACATATACATATATATAACATGTATACACACAAATATATGTATATATGCATGTTGTGTATATACATATTATATATGTGTGTATATATATGTATGTGTGTGTATATATATATGTGTGTGTGTGTATATATATATATAAACTTTCTATTCTGGAAATTTTCAATGTGCATAAAGATAAAAAGGCTACTTTGATAGATTCCTATGTATCCATCACCTAGTTTCAACAGTCAGCATCTGCTGTTCTGATTTTGTCTATCCCCTTGCCACCCCTTTTTAAATTGTTTATTTGTTTTTAATTTGTTCTCATTTATTTCTTGACAAATCATTTCACTTAGACTTATTTCAGTAAGCTGATCTAACTTTACTTTTTCTAACATAACCACAATATTATTATTAGATCCCCCGCCCCCAACCTCACAATTCCTCCATATACTCAGTTTGTGTTCAGTTTTTCCTGATTGTCTCAAATATGCCGTTTTTTATTGTTGTTTTTGTTCATTTCAGAGTCTAAACAAGATTCTGTGGAGATTGCATATGGTTAATATGCTCTTACATCTTTTTTGTTGTGTAATTATTTCTCTCCTTTGTTTGGTGTGTTTATTATAGAAATTGAGAATTGAGTCTTTTGTCTTGAAGAATTGCTACATTTGACTGATTATATCTTTTTGTTGTCATTTAATATGTTCCTCCATCCCCTATAAATCAGTAGTTAGAGATAGATTCTTGATTAGATTGAGTCATGGGGTGGGGTGGGGAGTAGGGTAGGAATAATGTATTTATCCCATTGTCCTTAATATTAAGATTGATTGATGGTTCGGTGTTGTGATTGGCTGAAAATAGTCCCATAAAACAGCAGCCCCCAACGTTTTTGGTACCAGGGACCAGTTTCATGGGAGACACTTTTTCTGCCGGGATGGGCGGGTTGGGGAGAGGTTCAGGCGGCAATGAGAGCACTGGGGGGACGGGAGCAGCGGGTGAAGCTCTGCTTGCTTCCCCAGTGTTCACCTCCTGCTGTGTGGCCCCGTTCCTAATAGTTAGGGTTACCAGAGATGAATTAAAAAGCAAAACTACCGTCCTATCCTAGCTCTAATGCCTCTGTTTGGTATTTTAAGGCCATATTTAGTCTTTCCTTCTTGGTTTTGCCTTCCTTTTCTGAGGACTTCATCATCTTATGTCATTTGTGTCCAGTGAAATCTCCAATAAACTGTATGTAGGGGTTGTGTCTAATCCACTTTTGTAGAGTTACTTCCTCACACACGGAGCAAGATTTAAAGATAATTGACATTTAGTAAAGTTTGGTTTGTTGCAAGATCATTACCTGGATAAAATTCTATTTTTTCTTCTACACATCCTTGCCCCTGCTAAAAGTAAAATCTTATTGGTTTCTCTTGGATAAATGAAGAAATTTCCATGCACTTTATCTACATAAGGTATAGATAATTACTCATTTTGCTTCAATGTGTGCAGTAAGGACTCTGGGTAAAAGATTCCAAATTTTACAAAGATACATGAAACTTAATCTGCATCTCAACTTTGAAAAGTTTTTCTTTTTGAATATATCCTGTGATAATAAAGGTAAACAGGTGTTTGAAAACATACTGTCATGAAGTACCAACCTGGCAGAAAACCTGTAGCATTTATAATGAGAACACAATCCAATTGAATTTGTAATTAGCACTTTTGAAATGTGCTCATTATTATTGTTATTATTAGCCACAAAACTATGCAGCTTTGGCTCACACCCATTGGAATTTTAGGGTGTGAATCTAGCCAAAAGCAGTCAGTATAGAACCCAATAAAAGAAATATGTTGCAGATTTTATGGAAGTAATTTTAAGTTAAATATCCAAGCAGGAATATCAATTAGGTAGAAATTATTCACTGTCTGTATCCAAGACAATGTTCACTTTTGAAGCTACAGATCTTTACAAAAAATATCCTAATGATTTGAGAAAACTGAACACACTCATTAAATAAATTCTGCTTAATGTTATGTGGCAGCCTGGATGGGAGGGCAGTCTGGGGGATAATGAACATATGTATATGTGTGGCTGAGTCCCTTTGCCGCCCACCTGAAACTATCACAGCATTGTTAACCAGCTCTCAGTTCAGTTCGGTTTAGTCGCTCAGTCGTGTCCAACTCTTTGCGACCCCATGAATCGCAGCACCCAGGCCTCCCTGTCCATCACCAACTCCCAGGGTTCACCCAAACTCATATCCATGGAGTCGGTGATGCCATCCAACCATCTCATCCTCTGCCATCCCCTTCTCCTCCTGCCCTCAATCTTTCCCAGCATCAGGGTCTTTTCAAATGTGTCAGCTCTTTGCATATAAAATTAAAAGTTTAAAATAAACAAATGAATACATTCATAAATGGATGCTAATGGATTGAGAAGTAATCCTGAAAAAAGAATAGACATAATTGAAGAGACATATCCAATGGAGCAGAAAGATTTCCAGAATTCAAAGACCTGTCTTCATTGAGCTTCTGGAGAAAGCTACCCCAAAACACTTCCCAGAACATAAAAGGGTTCTCTGACTGACTCATGCCAGGTGATTCAAATAGGAAGAGTGACTGGACACCCAACAAGTTAGCAGTTTACTCTATTAACAGACATGGATTGACCAACCATAGTATACTGTGTTAGGTACTATTAAAGAAATATAGAAGATCTGGTAAATTGGATACATATAAATAGGAGGGGATTCTGGGGACAATCTTCAGTAAGTCAAAGCAATAATTGTGAGCCTAATACCAAAACTACGGGAGATACAGAAAAAAAGCAACTGGGTAAGGGCCAGGCATACCAGGAAGAAAAGATTTCTGGAGAAAAGTCATTTTGATTTAGACTCTAAATGATGCCTTGGCCTGATTGGTGGGAAAGTTGAAGACACCCTTTCAATAAGAGAAATGACATGAGTTAAGATATGGACTTAGTGTTGTGTGAG